GTCCAAAAGCTGCATAGCCCGAATTATGAAATTTCGCCTTATCCTCCATATCCACCTGCTATCTCTCCTTTTTGAGCATTTCACACGCAATAAAACATTCTCCAATAAGGAAGAAGTAATCGAAGCATTTGACCTATTTTATCACATCAAAGGATAAAATGGAATCAGGAATTTAGATACGTTGGAGAACAGACATTCATCAACATGGTGCATATTTCAATTAAATAAATTAGTTATTTAACACTTCAAAAGCGTTTTTATCCATTTCCTATAAAGTGCGTCATTTCAATCGTGACAACCTAATATAGTGGGTTAAATGGTCTGAAGCTTGTTTTTACCACTGTTTTTCACTTTCAACCACAAGACAACAGGTTGGGTGTTTGTGAGTATTTTAGGTGAAGGTGCGTTATTCAATACGTAAACAACAAAGATAGAAGCATACACAAAACGGACATTTATCCCTTTTATGGTGACTGTAGTAAAATAAAGTTCTCCCCGTTTTCCTTTTGGGCTCTGAAGTAAGGTAAAGTAAACAATGGTTAAATTGGCCGAGCTCGTCAGCTTTGCGCCAAGTTGGAACGACCAATTCACTTACTTCATGACTTGTGCTGCCAAAAACACGCCCGAACGATGTCGTTGGAAAGTGGAAAAGTGCAATCAGTAGACCAGGGGAATTAACGTTCCTCAGCGGGAACGTAATTACACACGTGGTTCACATCTTGGAGCAAAGAGGAGGAAGGGAGCGAGGCAGGAAATGTTTGCATTTTTATAGGCGTCAACGCCCTAACGACGTTTTTCGAAGCCAACTCGTGTAATCATATTTCCGGTTACTTTACTCCTAGCACCATGGGAAAAGGTATTTATTTTTTTTTTTATTATTATTTATTATTGTTTTATTTATATTTCTGGGATGAGGTATTGTAATTATTTTCATTATTTACGTTGTTTGGACTGTTGTCCTCATCTTTATTGTCATGTTCACGACGTTTTGGCCGTTGTACGCTCCGGCCTTGTTCAGGGGTTTGGAATTTCGAACTGAAACTTTTATTTCGTCCACCAGGCTAGATTGTTCTAGTTCCACGTGCTATGCCTCTTCCGTGTGTCTCATCTTCATTTAGACTGATGTCCTCAAGGACACATGGCACAGTAAAAAGGATGGGATCTAGATGTCAAACTAGTAGCACGCTTAAATTCATGTAGTCGGAGCACCAGGGGAAAAAAAGCTTGTCAGAGCAGTTACCATGAAAATATTCAGTAAAAGGGCAGAGGAAAGCCACATCACATCAGCGAGAAAGTTACTGAAGTTGAGATGCCAAACTCAGGATTAATTACTTCTTTGGATTTTGTCGAGAACCTCGAGATGAACAGCAGGGACACCAGACCAGATATGGCAACTGTTTTCAATGCAAGGACGAATGGTAGATTTGTAGATGTGTAAGATGGACTCTGACGAGAAAAACCTTCTGACACAGCACAGTGAACCAACTTTCCTAGCAGTAGATGCAGCTATTGATTCAATGTATTTTTTCCTTTTCAAGTCATTCTAAAACGTGAGGCCAAGAAGGCGCAGAGAGACGCTGTCCTGGAGTCGAGCATCAACCATGCTGATGGCATGCGGGGAAGTTTCTCTGTGGTGGTTAAATGGGAGCCGTTTAGCTTTGGAGGCATTAAAATATACAAGCCATTTGCTGCCCCAGTTAACCACAGATTAGAGGTCCTTTTCGAGAGCAACGACCAGGTCAACTTTGTCAATGCTGCCGGATTTACTTTTGATACAGGAGTAAATAGTAATGTCATCTGCCTAGATGCCTACTTGGGAACTGATAGCACCAAGAAGATCATTGATGAAGAAGATTAGAAAACAGTGTAGGACCCAGGATAGAGTCCTGGGAAACATCCGCGTTCGTAAGAAAGGATCTGGAAGAGAACCTGTTCAGTACAACCTTCATTTCACAATTTGATAGGAATGACTGGACTAAATCAAATAATCGTCCTGTAATACCCTAGCCCTGAAGATTAAATGTTCACCTAATTCTAGGCCCATGAGCCACTCAATGTAGAGAGATACTGTATGGTGCTGTATGAACGTAAGAAAAGGCAAGAAATGAAGTTTATAGCGTTATGAATGAAAGATAACGGTTAATCCTAGACTTGATGACATCAAAATTAGGAAAGCATCCTGCCGGGAGTTTGTTCCACAAAGCAATAGTTCTTGGTCCGAGCTAAACCTATCTGATTCATAGGATACAAAGGGGATGGGGTTGATTCACCTTTGTGTATGTGGCATTGTGGGTCCCAGTTTTAAGGATTAGGTGTGGTGGGATGAAGCAATATAGTTTGTCAGAACAAATGTAATAGAAATAGCGATAGACCGGCAAGAGGCTCGTGGCGTTTCGTCTGCAAGAAAGGGGTAGTAGGTTTGAAAATAATTAACCACCCACAAGGCCGCGTAGACGCTTTTGAACAGGTAAGTTAGGACTGGGTAGCTCATATTCGTGACCTCTGATAATCGTTTCTTCTACGAATTGCCAATAAATCTTGGTAAAAAGAAATTGTAGAATATTTTCCTGTTGCCTTCTCTGCTGTTGTCAATTCAGAGTTTTCCTTTTCCTAGATTGGTTGCCATCCACATCTAGAGAGCTCAGCCTGCCCGTCTATTTAAGCAATAGACAGGGGCAGAATAGATCGATTCATACTTTTCTGGAGGTTGATTGTGAACTTGACAGATAAGGATAGAATTTGAATACGTCGTACCGATTTCGTCTTCTGGACCGGTAATTGTTACAGTACCCCTATCATGTCTTTCTTTGTTATGTGTTTCCCAAATTTCTCTCCCTCATGGTATATTCCGCATTCGCTAACAGAGTTCCTTAATGAGTCATGTCGACTCGCGTTATCAGGACCGCATAAGAAGCTTTGTATATAAATATTAACACAGCCTAGTTTGGTCTGACTAAAGTTCGAATTCCGGTTGGGTTTATTACATTCAGTTTCGCTAAAATACTCTTCGGAAAGGTATTGATTCATTTCTTCTTCTCCCAGCTATGGGTTGAATAGTTCGATTATCCAGATTGTCATTGTGTCAGTTACGAGCGTTTATCGCCGGTATTTAGAAATCATAATATATTTTTTAGGTGGGGGACTTCGACGTGGTGTAATGGTTAACAATTTTGTCTCACTGGATCAATTACGACTGAGTAGTGGATGTGCATTGTGGTGTAATGGATATCGGCTAGGGATGAGAAAAGAGGGAGGCGAGTTCGAATTCCAGTCGGATTCGTTACTTTTGTTGAGGGGCCGTGGTTGTGATGTTGTGAAGTCAGACGTAGAAGAAACGCAAGTAAGGTTCAGATACTCCTGCTCGCCGGGCCCAACTACATAAAAAGGTTGGACTTTGATTAAGTCCAAAGAAGAAGGCAAAGAAAGCAAACAAAACACAAGACCAATAATATATGTATATACAAATATATATTAATAACAAGTTACAATACATGGAAACAGTACAAAGGACGAAGTGTGTGTGAATATTCTGTATGTGCGTGCGTGTGTGAATATTCTGTATGTGCGTGCGTGTGTGTGTATTGTGCTTAGCGTGTTTCCACGCTATCCCTTGTTAGCGCCTACATTTCGAGGTTGATAGCTGAAATCCTGAAAGAAAAAAGAGATTTACCTCAAGGTGTCGGTGCACAGGCCTGAAGGAAAAAGAGATAGAGGTGAAGAGTCAGCGGCTATTTATAGCCAGGGAAGAGAGACCCCTGGTGAAAGGGTTAACGGAGTGAAGGAGGAGTTAACTCCGACACTTTCACTTACGCGCAATTACTCTTGGGAAAGGTATGAATCCATCTACCTCGCTAGCTATGGGTTAAATAGCAAAACAAACTGGGCCCTGTAGACTTGGTTGGCAACCAGTCTACAACAGAAAAACTACCGCGGGAAAATCTTTGATTAGTCAGTCATGGATCGAAAGATATGTATCACGAATCGCGTTTAACTGGCTGAAAATTCTGTCTGTTGGTAGTATGATGATTGTGCCGATTTTCTAAGAAGGGAAGCGTTGCTTGTCTTGAAAATATCCGCTTCAACCAGGGCTCGAACACTGACTGCTGGCACCAGCGGAAAATGCACATTTATTTTACTCATCAAGCAGACCCAGACGGAAGAAAAGCTTGAGATTTTTCCCAGCAGGATTCGGTAAAAAAAAAAAAAAGAAAGAAAGAAAAGAAAGCTTTGCCGATTCATCGAATTTCTTTTGTTGAAATGAGGTGAAAGCCATTAAAAGAACGACAACCCGAGAAGAAAACTCTGACGAGAGACGAACAAAACGAATTGGCGTTACCTTTTCAGTTCCCGCCAGAATGGTTTGTGACGTCAGAACTTCAGTTGCAATTCAGTGCAGGCATTGGGTGCTGATGAAGCGACAGACATCAGGTTGCTATGGCGATGGAGAATGTGACGTCAGCAAAATTGACAGAGAAAACAGAATCAAAAGGTAAAAAGAGAAGCGATACAAGAAAAGCGAAGAAAACGACACCAATTTATTTTCCCTCTTTCCATTTATTCTTTCCTTCTCTTTCTCTCATTATTTACGTTTCTCTCTCACTCTTTCTCTCTTTCTCACTCTTTCTCACACTCTCTCTCTTTCTCACTCTCTTTCTCTCACACACAAACATACTTATTCATATGTTTATGCGAACAAAATATAATCAGGCTGCCCGACTAATACGAGGGCATGTGTTGATATGTTCTCGGCCCGAATGCCCTTGCCAAAAATTTAACCAAATGACCGAATACAAGATATCCGGAGGGGAAAGGCTTCTTGGACAAGCCGAGGACGTTTCAACGCTCCTTGGTATATGAAATTACTGATAAACATGCATAGACCGAGATAGCTTGATAGATAGAGAGATATGGACAGACTGAGATAGATAGAATGTATTTAGATAGATAGATAGATAGATAGATAGATAGATAGATAGATAGATAGATAGATAAGAATGTATTCAGATAGATAGATAGATAGATAGGATGAAATCAGGAGATATATAGATAGAGAGATAGATAGATAAGAATGTATTTAGATAGATAAGAATGTATTCAAATAGAAAAGAACGTATTGAAATAGCTAGATATATGTGGACAGACT